ACCCCACCCCCCTATTTTCAGATTTTCTTTCCTAGAATTAGTGGATAAAATAATGTGAACGAATAAAATGACATAGTGAACCCTATGAAACAAACAAAAGCTAAGTTTTTTTCATAGCTCTTCCAGATTTAATGAAATGTCTGTTCTAAAATTTAACCCTGAAGGAAAATACTCAGTTAACTATGTTAAAAATCAATACTTGTGATTGTGTTTTACCTAAAAATGCCTTCATAATTATGTGCGAATGTGTGTCTTTTCCGTCTTCTCCACAGGGTTTGTGCCTTACATTATTACTCCTCGCCATTTTCAAGAAAGCATTGCCAGCTCTTCCAATTTCTATCACCTTTGGGCTTGTTTTCTACTTTGCCACAGATTATCTTGTACAGCCTTTTATGGACCAGTTAGCATTCCATCAGTTTTATATCTAGCATATTTGCAGTTAGAATCCCATGGATGTTTCTCCTGTGACTTTAACAAAATCTGGGGAGTACAAAGGTGACTTTCCTGTGTCCACATCTAACAAAGTCAAGATTCCCAGCTGGACTTTTGCAGCTTCCTTCCAAGTTTTCCTGACCGCCTGCACTATTGGACATTGGAAGGAGGTGCCTATAGAAAACAATTTGAACATACTTCATCGCAGTGAACTGTGTCCCTCGGTGCAGAAACTACCAGATTTGAGGGACAAGGTCAAGGAGACATGATGGGCCCGGAAGTTGCTGTGCTCCATCAGCAGCTTTCCCTCGGTCGCAGGAAGATTTCACCAACACTGCGGACTCTCAGGACTACCGTTACCAAGAGGTTAGGTGAAGTGGTTTAAACCAAATGGAACTCTTCATCTTAAACTACATGTTGAAAATCAACCCAATAAATCTGTATTAACTGAATTTGGAACTTTTCAGGAGGTACTGTGAGGAAGAGCAGGCACCAGCAGCAGAATGGAGAGGTGGGCAGGGGCTCCAGCTTCCCTTTGACTTTTTGCTGCAGACTCATCCTTTTCAAATGAGTCTTGTTTCCCCTCCTCTTCGAGTCAAGTCAGATGTGTAGATTGACTTTGGCAATTTTTGTTCTTAAGCACTGACACTTATTACCATCTGTGATTGCCATTTCTTCCCAAGGCCAGTCTGAACCTGAGGTTGCTTTATCCTAAAAATGTTAGCCTCAGGTTCCAAATTCAATACATTCTGGAAATCACAGAACTATTTCCCATCGATTCTCTATCATCCTGAAGTCAATTTTGGATTTTCCACCAAATTCTGAATTTGTAGACATACTTGTAAGTTCACGTGCCCTGGATGCCTCCTCTGTCCTCATTCTTCTCTCCCACACAAGCAGTCCTGTTCTACAGCCAGTAAGGCAGCCCTGTTGTGATAGCAGATGATCCCGTTATTCTAGGGTTTTACTCTGTATGATGAAAAGAATGTGTTAGGAATTGGTGCTGTCAGCCCTGCTCTCAGACCATTTCCATAGCAAATGAAATGTATGCCCAAAGACAGTAGAATTAAAGAAGAGTAAAATGGCTGTTGAAGCACTTTCTGTCCTGGTTTTTTGTTTTTGTTTTTGCTACACTATAGGTCAGAATTTGAACTAATAGCCAAACGTTGGTGATTCATGAGTTATGAACTAGTTGTATCAACAGAAAGCAAGAGTTTGAGGAAAGCCATAATTTAGCTGTGGGAGAACCGAGTTATGAACTAGTTGTATCAACAGAATGCAAGAGTTTGAGGAAAGCCATAATTTAGCTGTGGGAGAACCTGAGGGCAGAAGGATAACCAACTGCCAAGAGGAAAGAGAATAGGCCTCCAGCAGCGAAGGGGATTCGGTGAGCTAATAATGTCAAGGAGGAGTTTCAGGTTATCCTCACCAGCTCCACAATGGGTGCTTTGTGGTCTCTGCCTGTGTTACGTTTCCTCTCAATGTACCTTTGTGTGAACTGGGCAGTGGAGGTGCCTGCTGCAGCTACCATGGAGTTTACGCTCTGGGCAGCTCACGTCAGGCAAAGCACACAAACAGCCATCAGCCAGTGGGCCCAGGGCACCTCTGGACGAAGCCTTGCGGGGACACAACCTTCTTTACTGCAGAGAGCCTGTAGCCATGCTGATCAGACCGGAAGAGTTTGTGAGAAACTTATTTTCCTCCTGTGGCTGAGGAGGGGCCAGCTTTTCCCTCTTTTGCCTGCTGTTTTCTCTCCTAATCTATCATATGATTTGATCTGGTTTAGAATTTTCTTTGGAGTTTGGAATATTTGTTTTCTGTCCCAGGATATTTTTTATAAGAAACTAACTTCAAGAGTAGTGTGCTAGTACTAACCTGAGTTTAAATTAAAATTGGCTTATATTAGGCAGTCAGAGACAGGAAAAATAAGAGCTCTGCAAAGAAAATAGGGTTTAAAGTAGTAGGTCCTATCATCTCAATTCATTTTTTCCATGAAACTTCCTTCTCCCAAGATTCATTCCTTCTCTCAGACACGTGGCAGTGTGGGTATTGTCCTTGAGAAAGCACAGCTACAGCAGAGCCCTCTGAATAGCAATTTGTGATTCGAAGCATTCTTGAGGGATCCGTAATCTAGACTAGCTTATTTCTTTAAGGATCCCAAATGTGTTGCATCTTCCACGGTAAGTTTCTCCTCTGAAGAGGGTACGTGGGGTATGTGTGTTTAAATCCTTCCTATGTAGTATTGATTGTCCTGTGTAGAAAGACGGCAATTATTCTCTTTCTCCAAGTTGGAGCCACATCTCAGCCACATTGTAAGACAGTGTACAGAGAACTTATCTTTCCCTTTTTTTTTTTTTTTTTAAAGGACAGGATCTTGCTGTGTTGTCCAGGCTAGACTTGAACTCCTGGGCTCAAGTAATCCACCTCAGCCTTCTGAGTAGCTGAGACTACAGCCCATCTTACTTCTTTAAATCACTCATCTCAGGGAGAGAACTTTTCCTTCACACATTCTTCTTAGAATTAGCTCAGTCATTCCTACAACATCAAAATGCTGGTCTTCCACCATGAAAAATAGATTGTCACTGGAAAGAACAGTAGCAATTTCCATAAGGATGTGCCTTCACACACATGGGAGAGGCGGTGGTTATGGAATCGGGCAAAACCAGCAATAGAGTATGACCAGCCAAGCCAATCTGCTTAAGAAGGAAGGTAGCCACTAAGTGTCCGAGTCTGACTGGGCTACAGAATTTCATTACATGCCTATGGGAAAACCGACCATATTTGGAAGATTTGTAGATTTTTTTTTTTTTTTCAGAGAAGAAAGGCTCACCTTCCTGTTTTTGATTCTCACTAGGTTAGTGTGTGTTCCTATAATCACAGCTCTGACTCCAAATGACTAAATTTCTCAATCAGAAAAAATAGACGCTTTCTAAGCAACTTGGAAGAAAACAGTCATAAAAAAGCAATTGATGGATTTTACTACAGAAGCAACACCTAAAGAGGCAGTGTTTTTACTTTTAGACTCCTGGATTCCCATTCTATAGTCTCTCTCTCTCCTTTTTTTTTTTTTTTTTTTTTTTTGAGAGGATAGTTTCATTCTTGTTGCCCAGGCTAGAGGGCAGTGGTGCAATGGCACAATCTCGGCTCAACATAACCTTGGTCTCCCGGGTTCAAGTGATTCTCCTGCCTCAGCCTCCCCGAGTAGCTGGGATTACAGGCATGCATCACCACATCTGGCTAATTTTGTGTTTTTAGTAGAGACGGGGTTTCTCCATGCTGGTCAGGCTGGTCTCAAACTCCCAACCTCAGGTGATCCGCCCGCTACAGCCTCCCAAAGTGCTGGGATTACAGGTGTGAGCCACTGCTCCTGGCCTCTCTCTCTCTGCTTTTAAACACCCTCCTTTTGCAATAGATGCCCAAACAGATGTTTATTACTTGTTCTTTCTTTGGCCTCAAACAGTGTATGTATTCTTGATATAATTTGTAGAATGTGAAATGTAAGTTGAACTACCAAATAAGGTCTTCCAGGGTTAGAAAACTGCAGGAAGCCTTTGATCGTAACCCCAAAGGCTTTGTATATTTGATCACTTGTGATCTAAGCCTGTAAGAAGAAGAGCTCAGAAACCACTATGAAAAGATTTGTTCAGTGTCTCTGTGTTCCTGTAGGTTCTGGAGTCTAAGAATGCAAAGATGAATAAGATAAATTCTCAGGGTGCAGCTATAATCTCGTTTTCTGGTATATGACATCTTTTTTTTTTTTTTTTTTNTTTTTTTTGAGAAGGAGTCTTGCTCTGTCGCCCAGGCTAGAGAGCAGTGGCGTGATCTCGGCTCACTGCAGCCTCTGCCTCGCAGGTTCAAGTGATTCTCCTGCCTCAGCCTCTCAGACTACAGGTGAGCGCCACCATGCCCTGCTAATTTTTGTATTTTTAGTAGAGACAAGGTTTCACCATGTTGGTCAGGATGGTCTCGAACTCCTGACCTCGTGATCTGCGCACCTCGGCCTCCCAAAGTGCTGGGATTACAAGCGTGAGCCACCACGCCCGGCCTGACATCTTTCTTTAACTTCTCTCAAATACTGGGTTTTTGTCCATAACCACTTTTATCATTACTGAGGGCTTTGTGTTATAAAAGATACTTTGATTCTTTCAGAAACCAATCCATTCAGTAAAGAACTCCTTTTCTTTTTCTTTTTTTTTTTTTGAGACAGAGTCTTGCTCTGTCGCCCAGGCTGGAGTGCGGTGGCGCAATCTTGGCTCACTGCAACCTCTATCTCCTGGGTTCAAGCAATTCTTCTGTCTCAGCCTAAGTAGCTGGGACTACAGGGTGCCCACCACCATGCTCGGCTAATTTTTTGTATTTTTAGTAGAGACAGCGTTTCACTATGTTGGCCAGGATGGTCTCGATCTTCTGACCTTGTGATCTGCCCACCTTAGCCTCCCAAAGTGCTGGGTTTACAGGCGTGAGCCGCCGCGCCTGGCCTAAAGTACTCCTTTTTCTTTAAATTTGCTGTTAGACATAAGGAACAGTTTGCCCTGCCATTCTCACCTCCAAGAGTATTCTGAACATTTAATTTGGAAAGAAACTTGAAAATTGGACATTTAGTTTTGCCCTTGGAATGGAAACTATCATGTAGAGTAAGTTTGAGCCTAGAAATGATCCTTGTGATTTTCTCACCTCTTTAAATTCCCAAAACACAGGAGATTAAAAACACAGGTTTCAGCTCTTCATAGTGCTTGTTTAAATTGCTGACCAGAGGGTACCAACAAGGCTGTTATCCGGCTCCCGGCTCAGCATCATCTGCATGTGGTCATCTGCACAGTCCTCTCCTGTAGCAGGAAACACCGCAGATTTGCATATTAAAAAGCGCCCTGGTGCTGAAATGAACCACTTTCTTGAACATGAAAGCTGTCTTCCACAGCCTCGGGCAGCAGGGCACCTCTGAGTGGATGCTGGGTCCACCATGGGTCTTGATGTGTGATGGCGGCATTTCCACTTGGTCCGTGTAGCAGGAACGATTTTCCAGAAAGCAATTTTCCTTTTGAAATATGTAATTGTTGAAACTAGGTGGTTTCAAATCAACTGCATAGAGTAGCAAGTACAGGGTTGTCTCATTTATGGTGCCCTTGGAGGTGCCGGGATGAGGGTTTCAGCGGGATCGTTTCCCTCACATACTGTCTGGCTTCTGCTTCTGTGGACACTGCTTTGTACTTAATTCAGACAGACTGTGAATACATCTTTTTTATAAATGCCTTTCAAATTCTTGGTAAGATGTAATTTTGATAGCTGATTGCAGATTTTCCTGTATTTGTCAGATTAATAAAGACTGCATGAATCCAGCTGTGCTAGTTTTCTTACAAGAAAGTATCATAATGTGTAAATAACACTTTTCAAGAAACTGGAAGCAAATGCATTGTTTCTAAACTCCTAAGAAAGTGGCATGGATTATAGCATGCCACACTTCTGAAGAGTGCAATATTAAATCTGCTTATAAAAAGCCTCAAAGCGGGGGCTGGACACAGTGACTCATGCCTGTAATCCCAGCACTTTGGGAGGCTGAGGTGGGTGGATCACCTGAGATGAGGAGTTCGAGACCAGCCTGGCTAACATGTTGAGACTCCCCATCTCTACTAAAAATGCAAAAATTAGCCAGGCATGGTGGCACTTGCCTGTAGTTCTAGCTGCTCGGGAGGCTGAGGCAGAAGAATCACTGGAACCCAGGAGGCTGAAGTTGCAATGAGCCGAGATCATACCACTGCACTCCAGACTGGGTGACAAGAGCAAAACTTATAACAAAAAAAAAAAAAAAAAAAAAAAAAAGCCTCAAAGCAGCTATTCTTAATACTTTCTGAAAGGTATTTTTTCTAATAACTTTCATACTAATATAAATATGTCAGAGCAAACTATAAACATAAGACATGTATGTTGTACAATTCAGAAAAGTGCTGGAGGATTATTTTTAAAAAATTATGTAGGTCACACTAATGGGAAAAAGCCACATTACTTTTTCTTTTTTTTTCGAGACAGAGTCTCGCTCTGTCACCCAGACTGGATGCAGTGGCATGATCTCAGCTCACTGAAACCTCTGCCTCCCGGGTTC